TTGTTTCTGTAATAGCGGCAGGACTATCTGGATATTCTCCCCATGTGCTTGGATGATAAAGGTCCAGGTCTCGGCAGAAGCTCTGGGAGGGAGAACGGAAAACGGGGCAGAACTTCTGAGCTTAGGCAAAAGATGGGGTGCTCCAGGTGCTGGCGTGTTACCCTTCCCTTCTCCTTGCTGAAATTGTCCCTGCCTAGAGTTGCTGTGGAAGGAGAAGGGCATCCCACATGTCGTTCAGGAGCCGCTTGCCCAAGCAGCGGCCCCGCTGCACGCCCGGGCTAGGTGCTGTCTATCAATTGTTGCAGCCTGACATTCAATCTCATTTCTGAGTTGTTGCAGCCCGCCATTCAATCTAATTCTGAAGCGCTGCATCATCCCTTTACCTTTGTCAAAGTCAGATGCTGTGGGTGAAGAGGCGCACACGCTTCTGCAAGGCCAGCTCTGCAGAGCCCTCTCACTTTGTGAGCGTCTGTAACGTGGACGTGTTGACAAGTGCTGAGCTGTGGTTCGTGGTTCCCCCTGCAGAGTCCCAGTCGTGAAGCTGTCTGTGCTGTGCTGGGGACAAGTGGGACAGCTTGATAAGAGCAGATGTGGTTTTGGTACACAGCAATCTGAATTTCTCTTGCAGACACTGAGGAAAAAAAAAACAAAAAGCCTCCTTGGCTGGAGGAGGGTTACAAGGTGTCCTATTGGAACCTAAAAGCTTGGAAAGTGAGGAGCCTGGCTCTGCCACAGCAGAAATCACTCGCTGTTCAACAGGGCAAAGCTGCACTGAGCTCTTTGGAAAAGCGTGATGTTTTTCATCCGATGAGTGCTGTAACAGAAAGTGTTGCAGAAAGTGATTCCCTGCAGTACAGCACTGAGCTTCATGGAGATTTTGTCAGAGGTCTTCTGGATGGAAACCATTTAAATGGTAGCAGGAACTTGCATTGATAGCTAGAGATGTTGCATAACAGCAAAACTCTTGCTCTCATGCCTGTCTTCATCCCATGAAGAGGCAGGAGGAACTTCGTTTTGGATAGCTCGCATTTGCCCTTTTGTAGTTATTTCTTTTAAAAAGTCTTCTTTATCGAAATAAAACTGCAGCTATGCTATGAAAGCTCTTTTCCTGTATTTTATATTGTACAGTAGTGAATTGCAGGCATCCTTTTACCATCATTTTGTTTCCTTCAGTGATTAGAAATGAAGTTACCTTGGCAGGAAGCACTTAGCCAGGCTGGCAAAGAAACTGCTTAACCCTCTCATGCAAGGTGAGTTCAGATGTGTGGTTCAACCCCCTCAGTAGTTTCTCTCTCCTTGTATTACAACAGGGAACACACGTAGTAAATAACACAACAGGAGAAGCAACACCTGAACTTGTCCTTGGGAATTTCCAAATCCAGGAATATGGAAGGGAACAAATTGTTGTCAGGCCTCTTCTTAAAATAATACCACAGAGTCTATAGTGTAGCAGTTAAATGAGGTATTTAAAAGCATATTGACTGTATGTCCACTGCCAGTTGAGCACAACTAGGAACCTGTATTTGTCAGATTAATTAAAGCAGCATTTCGCTCACTGTGAAATCAATCTGCAGAGAGAGAAGACACGTTGAGGTTTGTGACAGTGCTGCTTTAACTCCTGGCTGGCAGTGTCAGGGAGCAGATTGCAGCTCCCCAGCCCCTGCCTCCAGCTAAGCACAGCAGCGTGCCTGTCACGTGAGGATCTGCATCTGCAGGGCTTTTGGCCTGAGCCTCCAGCCGTCTGTGCAGTGGTTTCTGAGACTCCACTGCCAACAGATTAGAGCCTGGACACTGAAGGAAACAGACTCCTGTCAGGCAGTTTTGCCTTGTGCAGTTACTGAATGAAACATCGTGCTGGGAGTAAAAAGAACTGCTTTTATTTTATTTAACTTTTTTTTTTTCCCCCTAGTATGAGGGTGTGAGTGTTCTGAGGAAAGCTAGAGATGTTAAAATCCCTGGCAGAACTTAACACTGGAGATGAGCAAGGTGGAGAGGATTGAAACGCTGCTTCACTGTGTATGTGCCAGTCATGGCTGTCAGAAAAACTAGAAAGCAGTCAGAAGATTCAAGGCAGTTTCACTTGTGATCATTTACATGTCAACAATTATTAACTCAAGTAGAGCAGGCAAACTATAAAGTTTACTGCAGGGACTTGAAAAGTATTGCACTCTATAAATAAGGAAATGAGCAACGGCCAAGAATTTAAACTAGGGTTGATAACTTTGCTTTTAAGCTCATCTAGTGCCCAGTTTGGAACAATTTAGTTGTCTTGCCTGCCTTGCTATCTAGAAGTTTTATAGCCTACCCCTTCCTCTGTGTAGCACAGTCACACCAATGTTTGATTTAGCCCAGATGAAAAGGCAGAGGTAAGAAGGTGGGAACAGAGGTAAATCCTGCAGAGGAAGATGCTGACCTTGGGAATTTCTCCCTACCTGCTTTAGGAGACGGTTTGTCCTCCCCCTTTCTGTTAGACTCATCTGCTGGTGTCCCCTAATAGAAGAGGGAAAGAAATATCCAGTTGCAGGACAGAAAAACATCTTAAAACAATGATAAAATACTAACTAAAAGTGGCTACTATTGAACAGACCTCCTTTAAAAAGCACAAAAAAAGAAGGATAATATATAAAAGAATACAGCTCCAAACTTAGATAAAAATCCAAATCTGAATAGTCATTAAAATGTCAGGGACGAAACTCTGAAAAATATGTTATTACCTCAGCTGTGGTGTAGATTGTTTGTATGGCTGGGGAATCTGAGGTTTAAATCTACAATACTTACAGTTGTAGCTAAGCCTGAGGAGGATGTAGTATCTAATCCAAAACTCCTAGTTGTTACCAGTACTGCAGCAAGAAGGGATTAGGTAGTTTACCTGCGTGCCTCCCAGCGAAGCTCATGTGTTGCCCTGGCTGGGTGAAGACTGCAGCTTTTGGGTATCAGCAGCACTGGGTGATACCTGCTTTTAGTGACTCTTTGCCATGTTGGATACTTGGAGCTACATATTTGTCCAGAGGACCGAATGGAAATTATTTTTGTTAATGTTTTATTAATGGTAAATATTGACATTAGACATGCACGAGATCTTACTATTAGAAAGTTTTGAATTATTCATGTGTCTGAATTGCTTTCAGACATCTCCTTGGCCTCTGGTCTGTAAGCACGTTCTCTAAGCAGTTTAAGTTTCATCAGTGTATGCAGTTGATAGACATGGGTATAAAGCTCACGGGTTTTTTATAAACCTCCATAGGGATAAATGGGGGTGTTTGTGCAGTGAAGGGAGTCCTTCCTTTTACTCATCTAATAACAAGTTATTACAATAAAAATCTCACCGATAGCTTAGCTCCCCTCTGTGTTGGGTGGAGCTACAGATGCTAGCAGCAGGGTTTGTGCTACAGGCTTGTTAACTGTGCTGCCTACTCTAAAATACACTGGCGTGTCGTTACGTGCCGGAGAGACTTGCTGAATTTTATTCAAGTGGTTTACAAACATTTCTCTAAAATGCTCTGGTACAAAGCTAAAGACACGGAAACATTTGTAGGTACTTTGCGGTTTCCGAAGCCCTTTAGTTCTGACTCTGCTGGGAACACCAGCCACCACGACTGAGTGCTGGCACTGAAGTCCTGCAGGCTCTTCTCTGAGCAGGTAGTGATGTTTTTATGAACTAGCAGAAAGTTTGTCTCCGTGAACCTGATTCTCATGAGTCAGCTGCTAGACTGGGCATCCTACCTGCAAAGCACCATTTGTCAAGTAGATGGGATTGATTTTTCTCTACAAATATTTGCCTGTGATCAGGTTACTGGATTGGAGCCTCTGTTTCCTCCAGGAAAATATAAAGCAAATAAATAAGGCTTAACATCTTTGCCATGATTATGTTTTCAAAGGCTATTTACAAAAAATCTTTAACTTTGGCTGACCTCAGTAGAACGTCATCAGGCGAAGCTGCAGGGAACAGTTGGGTTCTGTGTGGCAGTCTTTATTTTGGCTGGCAGTCTGTTAACTCTGATAAGTGGGTAAGCTCATGCCAAGCAAAGTCAGGCATATCATGAGGCTCTGCTTTGCCTCTATGAAGGAAGTAGCCTGAGAAACAGCTTTGTAGGCTAATAAAAAAACGTACACCAGAATTTGGAGCTGACCAATTCTGATTCTTGAGGGGTTTGACAAAAGGCTCCTGTCAGGTGCGTTGTTCCTCACTCCCCCTTCCCCAGAGGTGGAGCTGTCCTGCTCTGTTGGAGCTGCCTTGAGCACAGCAGTTCGCTGCTGCTTTCCCCAGGCTCTCGAGGGAAAACCCAAATGCAGCTCTCGTTTCTCGTGAATACCCTCTTGGGACTACATGCTCCTGGAGCAGCAGCAGAGTGACACTGAGAATTAGTGTCAGTCCTGCCCAAGGGGTGTACAGCAGCCTGGACACAAGGCTTTTGTCTGGTGGTGGTGGTGCGGTGCTCCTGTGGGGCGGTTTGGAGTTTGTTTTATTTTCTTGAGCAGCAACAGTCACTGGAGCTAAACAGCACTT